GGTGGAGAAGCCTGGTTGGTAGCGGGTGCAGCCTCGTGGTTCGCGTTAGTGACGGGAGCTTGTCCAGCAGTGACAAAACTGGGCTGTAGCCAAAGCTGAACATCGTATCTTCGTGTAAGACGCACCCAAAACTGCATCAGGCCCGTTTGGATTCTCCCTGTCACTATCACATGGGTTAGATTTTAGTAAGATCCCAGTTCTGTATGGGGAGACAGGAATCCAGAAGCTGTTCTGCCTGGGATTCAGCACCACAGGTTCCCCCAACCAAAGCCTTCCCCTACGCTTTGAAAGCGACTGTGTTTTGCCGAGGAGTCGGAAAGCACAAGGGCAAAGGGCTTAGCTGGCTAGCGCTGTACGCAATAAAATTCCATCACATGCGTTGCTGCTGCTTTAGCCGTGCTAAAGTGATTCAGGAGTGGCTGCTCCTAAGCATGTATGACCTGCCTTGACTGAGCTCAGCCAGCTGGAGCAGTTTACACAACCTTGGGGGTGGAAGCAGTGAAATTTGCTATCGCCAAGACAGCTGAACGGAGCCTGTGTTTCAATTTTGTATTGTTCATGCCAATTTTAAAAGTAAATGTAAATTTCACTCTCAGCCAGCTCTTCAGGGCATGTGATTCTAAGTCTGCTAATATCACAAGTCTCCGAAAATACATACTTTCCTAAAACATTGTGGAAAAACGATAGGAAAGGTTTTCTCCAGGACCAATGGGAGGCTACCCTTAAGCACTCTTAAGTGGTTTATGCACTGTACCCCTGTCTGTGCCTTCTCATTTCAAAGCCATCTTCCCCTTCAGCAGCACTGAACAGACTCAGTTTGCAAACCCCATTTTATTGAGATAATTGCTTGGTCCACTAATCCAAGGCTTACCCAGTCAGGTATGTCTGGTTTAGATGCACAGATAAAGCTTCACTTTCCTAGAGAACAGGCTTTAGAATAACTTCCCTTTCTAAGTGACGAATGCAAACATCAGAGTTTCTATGAAAATATAATTTTACACATAGCATGTATGTTACATAAACAAGTTACAAGTATAGGAATAGGAAAGTAACTTTGAATAAAGTTGGACAGAAATAAACAGATTCAAAACAGTGAAAAATACAAGTCCTGGGTATGATATTAAGAGTGCATCCCTGGAATACATCCTCTGAAGTCAGTGTTACAGCAGTGCCAAACTGCTTTAAAAGCAACATCTTTTGCTTTTGTCAGAAAGATCTGGCCAACAGCTTTTCCACCTGATACCTCTTATCCTTACCTCCTCTAGACCCCTTTCTGTCAATCATGCAAAGGTAAAAAGTCTGAAGAAGGCTGCAGTGTCAATACAGAAATAAAGCTGAACCCAAACTGTGCATGGGATACAGCTTATCAGAGCAGCAGTCCTTCAGCTTCAGTGACAGCAATCCCAGCAATTCTACCTTCGCTATCACAGAGGGGCTGCATATAGGAACGCAAGAACAGAGCATTGCTATCAGTTCTGTCTCAGGGAATGTCTTCTTTTGTCCTAGCTTACATGTGATGTTAGCATGGATGAAAGGTACAGGACTGCCAGGCCCAAAAAGCAAGCCTTTTGTCCAGTCTTGCTCCTTCTCAAACATTTTTCTCAAAATGTCTGAGAAGCAGCCCACTGTTGCTCTGGAGAGCATGTGTTTCCATATGAGGTTCCGTCCTTGGCTCTCTGGTGGCAGTGCATATTAAATGTGACCATCCTTAGTTATCTGCACTGATCTAAGGACAAGAATAGGCTGTCTCCTGTATCAGCTAACAACTATTTTCTTCATGGGAAAACTGGATAGCTATGGGCAAGGCTGGACTGAAGCCTTATCCATTAGAAGCTCTGATCATATTAACAGCCTCCTGTGTCTTCAGTGCTACAAAACCAAACTGCTCATCTTTTGAGTAGCAGAGAAAGATATGGAACCGGCAACACAGACTTTGAAAACTGTCATTCTCTCCATAAAATTCTAGCCTGGGTGCGTGGCTCTTGCTGAAATAAAATTGATGAGTAAAACCTGAAGAAAGAAACATTTGAGAAAAATTTGCAATTCAAATACAATTGATTTCAGTATAACAACCCCATGCTCTGTTTACCAACCCACTAGAGATCATGCAACAGAGAAACTATTTCCAGGGAGGACGAAAATATTTCTTTCTTTTCCAAGAGAGATGTAGTCCCTGCCTGTAGCCCATTGATGAACTTGTTCATTGATGAATTTTCCTACTGCTGTCTGTAAGGAGAAAGTCACCATAACAAATTGTCCAGAACAGGAGGCATGTTGTGTTGTGCCAATGTGGCACAGAGCCACATAAGAGCCTTGAGCTACTTCCTGGACAGTGAAGCAGTGAGAAATATAAATAGTATTGTTGCTGCCTATTAAAGCTGGCAAAAATACAAAAACCCAGCAGGAACTAGTTGGATTTCCATAGTAAAATAAAATTATGAGCCCAGTGTTGTGTTAACAGGAGATGATACAGAACATCTCAGCATCCACTAGAAAATAAGCAGAACACAGGATAACACGTGCAGAAATATACAGAAAGCACTTGGACTAGTATAAAAATATTCACAGTCCTCAGACAAATGTAAACTGGTACAAAATAATTCCAAGAACATGTTTACAAAAGCACATTAATATAAAACAGTAAAACCAGGTTCACCCTCTCTCAGCCTCATGCACAGCACAGACACAGGTAGTCCATGGAAGGGCCACGTACCAAGAATGAGCAGAGCCTTGACTTGCCATTTGACCTTCTAAGTCAACAGTGTCTGCTGTACGTTGCAGCCAGCTGGAAGTACAGCTGACTGGCAGCAGAAGGGCAGAGACAGGCAAAGCAGAAACAAACAAAAAACCGCACAAAACCAAAAAGAAAACCCCACCCTCAGGGATTTTAGGGCTTGTTCTTTCCCAAGCAGTCATTCATTTCCTGATCCTCCAGGCACCCCAGGAGCAGACATACCAGCGAACTGGTGGTATAACCGATGGGGTTTATCCTACCGGTGTGGACAAATGTCTGGTGGCCCTGGCAATGAGCGGACAGCAGCATGCAGTGATGCCTGTGCACAGGAGGTGACAAACTGTCTGCCTTGCCAATAGAGGAGAGGGCATGAGTGCAG